ACATCGGAAGTAACCACAACTTCTGTGAGGACATAGTACACCACAATCACAAGACATCTCCTATTCCATATGTATATACAGAGTGCCACTAAAATTGCGGGCAAATTTTTGGTACGAGAAACAAGAAAAGACAATCCGCGTGGGTTCGGAAACGTTTAATTTGTAAATTATAGCTGAAACAGAGTATATTTATGAAACTGAACATGCTGAACATTTCTTCGCTTCAGCAGTGCTCTAGAAGGATGAGGCGCGTTGTGGTAGAGAGGGAGGATCAGCATTCACAACTCTCACCAGTGGGCAGAGGAGAGTTCTATACACCACCAGAATTTCAGCATTATTGCGTGGGCAGAGATTATTGGTGATTTATTGGTAGGCCCGCATTTTTTGCCACATCGGCACATCTACATGATATGCCAAAGCTACTGGAAGTTGTGCCTCTGGTAGTCAGAGCACGAATGTGGTGCATCCGCGCTAGTACTGCGGCACATCTTAGCCGCGCTGTGCGAGATGTTCACAGTAACACCTATCGTGACTGATAAGACGGGTAGAGGAGGACCCACTGCATGGTCTCCACGCCAGATTCGAATCCTCTGGATTTTCACCTGTGGGGACACCTAAAGACCCTTGTGTATGCAGCTCATGTTGACGCCGAAGAGGCACTTCACCATCGCACTGTGGATGCCTGTGAAGCTATCCGCAACTACCCCGCCATGATGAGACGCGTCGAGGCGTGCACTGAATCCCATGGAGGTCATATTGAGCCCTTATTGTAAACGTGCTCTTTCAGCTACACCTCACAAATGAAATTTTTCCACACACTTTTCGATTTAAACATTTGTTCTTGTTTCGATATGAGGAGCTCTTACCCGAAATTCGTCCGCACCTTTCAGTTACACTCTTTATAGTGTGTGTGTATCTAAATGAAATTTGCGTAAGAGTGTGACTATAGACGGGGTTTGGATTGGAGAATGGATTTATTGGCCACTTATACGCACGACTAGAAAACACCACCGCTAACCCCCACAATTCACAAAACATCACAGTACACGCTAAGTTTTTCCAGCCTGCTGTGTCTTCAGCAACCATTCCATAGCAACGGCTTCTAACCGTGGAGATGCTCCAGCTTCACGCGCTCAAATTCTCTCTTCAGAGACTCCCGTACAGAACTAACTTGGTCTCTGCAGTTGTCTTCTTTATAACTCCTCGGCACGGACTAGGTAGAAACCCCCGTTTCCAAGAGTATCTCTATTGTTGTGCGTCGATTCGTTGCTGCAGAAACGTGATTGTCAAGCCGTTGCCCAGAAACGGCCCTGGTATATCCGCCCATCTCGCGGTCGTTGCATAGCAACGGCTCTACGAGCTACAATATTTTTAAATACAAAATACCAGGGCCTTGCACTTCTTGGCACTGACGTTGTTATCAACTCAGTAGTTCATGCAGGTAGGTAGGTAGGCGGGTGAGTGGGTAGGTAATTTCAGTTTATTCTTTTTCGGAGTTTGGATCTATGCCCTGTGCGAATATACTGTTCTGAGATTGCAGCTCGTGTTTGTGAGCTGAGGCGAGGCAGGTAGACTGGGATCTTCGGTTCTCACAACTGTGACATGGTACAGTTTGGTAGATGTTTACCGACTGTTCGAATGAATCTGCTGCCTGTATCCTCAGGGTAGAAAAGTGTAAAGATGGAGGCAGTAACTATCGCCCAAACGACATTGCATCACACCTCAGAAGACAAAATTTGGAAATGGAATGGATGCTTCAGTAGGGGAATGGAGGGAACTGTGAAACAAGTTTCATCGTTGCACCGTGCATAAAGTGTTGTGAGGCTCGAATCAAGGACGCTGGGTTGATGTGAACATGCAGCAGTACCAAAGATACAGTAACCATGGTAAGAAAATTACTTAAAATCTTTTCGGAGCGTAAAGGTACTGAAGTGTTGTCAGGGCCATTTTTTCTTTTTTCTTTTTTTTAGTTTTAAGTAAGTCCAATGCCCCTTTTCTCTTCTTAAGAAATTTTGGAGCCGAAATATGTGAATGAAGCACAAAAGGAACACACAACTGAGATGTACATAAGGGAAACACGAATAGTAGGAAATAAAGTTCTGAGGATCTGAACTCATTGAACTGCCTCAAAATCTGTTCCCTTTTGTAACTTCGGTGACGAGACTTCAGATTATAGATTTATACCCATTCTGATGATACAGACTTCGAACTTCTGCTCTGCTATCATCTGCTCTAATAGAACGTTTCCTTGTTTTCACAGCCATCCCTAGGCGCCCTCTCCGTTGCTGCATTCGAAAAGGCCATGATTGGCAACGTCTTCCACACCCACACCTATTACCTTTCATGACCATATTGCCGTAACATTCTACATCATATCTCACAAACAGGTCGCTGTGTCGACCTTCATGTGACCTTCATCTGAATCCACTTCCGTCTGTTTTATGAACATTTACGGCGAATTTGAAGCGTCGAATCGATTGTGCTCAGATATTCTTGTCTTCATTTCTAATGAGCGTACGGTTATATAAAGTGAATGAAGGTCCGGTCAGCGGGAGCGAGATAAATAGTTGGTAACGTAACTTCAAGATAAGGCGTTTCGCGTTCTGCATCCTCTGTATGGTGCCCAGAGCCTGGTCGATAGGCAACCGAGTTTGCACACACCGACCCTCCTCCTCTTCAGTAGGTCTACATAATGCAGATTGCTGTAATTAGATTTAATATATATCTTCTCGTCTTCTCGAGGAGCCGCGGTAGCGCAGTCGGTACAGCGACTGGCTACGGGCTGGACAGCCGAGAGGTCGCAGTTCGAGTCCGCGCCCCGACCCTTGCTATGCAACGGATCCGTAAACACGCCTCTACAACAGTAGGAGAGCTGTGTTTTGTACGTTGTCCGTACCGAGAAATTATCATGAAGAGAGTTAGGGTGAGCCAGTCAGATTTTTTTTTAATTCGCTTAGTGGGGTTGGAGTCCAGTTGGGTCCACTCGGCACGGCGGCCACTGATTGGCCTATTGTAGCTTGCCCCAGGTGATTATGATGATGGAGAATTTGGTGGAATGAAGATTGGCAGGGGAAACCGAAGTGCCGGAGAAAGCCCGACCCAGCGCCACTTTGTCCACCACAAATTCCACTTGACCAGACCCGGGATCGAACCTGGGCCGCCACGGTGGGAAACCAGCTATGGCGCAGCCCGAGCCAGTCGGTTTTGTACTGTAGGCTGTGTAGAGAGGACTTCAGGGCGGGAAGATGAAGAATGTCCACAGTTAAAACCCGTTAACAGAAAACGACTAGTGAAGACACTGCAGGCTGGAGGAGTCGTAGCATGTAGTGATTTGTAAAGTGTGAAGATGAGCGGTGACGCTGTAATTATTTGTATTTCCGAGTCGTGTGTGTAAGTGGTCAATATATACCTACACCAATCCAAACCCCGTCTATAGTCACACACATACTACGTCACAGTATCGATGTATCAAAATTACTTTCTCCATAAACCTTAATTTACACCCTAGTACTAAATTTTAGGAAAATCTCTTCATTAATATTGTAAACGCAATATGTTCACAGTTGAAGGACTTTCGTTTATTGTACCTAATAAAGACAGTTAGCAGAACACAGATCGGATAGTTCTGAGTGGCAAGGATGTATAGCCTCGTATTGCTTTGGTGGAAATTTCCGAGTTATGAGACGAAAATACTGCTTATATCTGAAAAGTTGACTGAAGAGAACAGGTATATTTACCACCGCCGCGCCATGAAGGCCACGAGTTGAAGCTGCATTCTTAAAAACGTCTGCTTTTATCCACAGTTAAAGTGTATCCCATTCACGTGCATTCGATTCAGTTGCAGTGCAGTTCTGGACGTGCTGGTGAAGAGATATCACGAAAAGTCTTTCGGGAATGGAACCCCTACCATTTAGTCCGTAGTCCTTAAGGAAGGCAAGGAGTTTTCAGAAAGTGGAATTTGTAACAATAAGTGTGCCAGAAATTTGGGAATTTCAAATACAGGTTTGACCTTCGCAGATCGCATATTCAGCGACAAACCTGTAATATACATCAGGAAATTTAGAAATTCTATTTTAATATACAAAAGTAGAACCACAGTGCTGAACATACAAATGCGATTGCTCCAAATGTGCTCTTGATCTGACAGGGCAACTTAACAGTACACCTTCGCGTCCCTCTTATGAAAGGACGATCTTTACGTAAAATCATAGACCACTGGTAGCATTTGATCTGTGATATAGCAAAAATCTTGAAGCCATTAAATTTATAGTTTTAAATGAAAAGGATCTATATAGAGAGAAATTGATTTCATTTTCGTGCGTTCTCCGATAGAATTTCATAAACGAAAATGTCTTTACTATTTCTGTAGTAACTTCGGTTCAGGAGTTGAGAATTATTTTTAGAATTAGATGGATGCTGAGAATCAGTAGACCCCCCCCCCAAAGGAAAGTGACAATTTATACTAGGCAGCCTAAAGTCAGTTAACTGGCTAATAAAATATGCACTAAAATACTTTAGAAATGACTTTGTTATTTTATTTAATTTATAAAAATTGAGTGCACAAATCAGAAACCGTTTTACAAAATGACAGGTAGATTTAAATCGCAGAGTTTTTATTAATATTTTAACTTATATAACTTTGGGCCTTTCTGTTCTGTAAAATAAACTTACGATATAATTTCGGGAATTCCTACCTGTATTTCCTATGCCGTATTCGGCGGCGCTCTCGCCTCTGATAACTGAATGACAGTGAAAGAAAGGGCTCATAACCTAATTTAAGGCACTGTCCCGACATACGCCACGCAGGAGTGAGAAAAGGAACGAATACAAGAATTTCCTAATTGGGGAAACTTGACATCCCGGGCGAGAATCGAACCGGGCATTTCCAAGACACAAATCAAAACTCTAGCCTTTTATGCTAACATGCTCGGTGCGACGTTACTGTTTGACCAATCAAGTGACTGTACCAGATTAAGTAATTTTGAAATGCCTCAACTTACCTCAGCCACCTTGAAGTGCAGGGAGTCGTAGGCCTCTGCCCTTGAGCCCAGGTTCCTCAGCTTCATGGGCTTCCTGTGGGACGGCGAAGCGGGCTGGGACGGGCCAACAGGAGCGATCCTGTCTTTGTCCTTCATGATGTTGCAGCCTTCCCCACACTGAGCCATGTGAAGCGACGCTACATCGAGTCTCGCGCCGCGGCGTCGTTACTGCCAACGACGACTCCTACAGGTTCCTGGGAACCGAACGAACATCACGGCGCTCATGATAACATAACTCGCGCAAACATGTGGCCAGCTACGGCTGACAGCAGGAGTTAGCACCGCGTTTCAAGCTTACGAATCGCATTAAAATCGTCTGGTCCTATTGGTTATTGATCCAACATTCTACTGCACAAGTACGCAACAATGAGTACAGAATTCTTGTGAAATACAATACAAATTTAAGAAGATACCTACAAACTTAAGGCAATACAGAAGGTATTTCTGATGAAGCAACAGTTACCAGTTTTCTGTTAACTCAAAAGGAAATATCAATTTTTTTGCGACACGATTACATTATCATTTACAATCAATGGCGTTACAGATGCATATAGTAAAGTCATTTACTGAAAAATGAAAAAGAAAATAAACGAAGCTTTACGAAGAAAGTTCTCCTTCTTAATACTTTATCCGTAGAAAAACTTTGGAGCTCTTAACTCTGAGATCCTAGCATTGGAATCATGCGAGAAATAGATTTGAATGAATGGCAAATGAAGGCCCTTATTCTTTTCAGTTATATTAGTCCTCCACTTCAACCGACACCTCAGTATGTAAATTCTGATATGGGGAAAACACGAATATCAGAATTCTAAACCAGACCAAGTTCATTAGGGTTCACTTTTCGTTTCGTCCTGTATGTTTAACGTGTACACAATAAGAAATAATGACATTCGCGTCTCCTGCAACTTGTCCGACTGCAACTATTGAATTCGCTTCCAACTGATGTGTAACATCATCTGACCGTACAGGAAACGGAAGCACGTGATTATAATTCCCCTGTCTACATTTAGCGAACTTGAAACTGATGGAGGGAATGTACAAATATTAGAGCTCTAATTTCAAGCCTTGCTTACATATTACCAAAATTCCTGGGAATTTAAATGCTGGAAATCCGGTAGTGGCCTAATGCGTTGATGTAGTCGACAAGATTCTCTATTACTGGTTTGATCTTGTTGCTTTCAATACATTAATCGGTTATTTTGAATTCCTTTAATATTATCATAAGAATAGAATGTTACTAATAACTGAAAATCTTGTTTTCGGGCATAACTGATACCAGCGTTCTTCGTAATTAATGCCTACACAAGGACTCGCTTAAAAGAGGTAGGACTTGTTTGGCTAGGACCTCAGCCCTCGGAAAGCTTCTTCCTGCAAAGGACAAGAACACAGAAAATCGCGGATATGCTGCAGCGGGATGGACACCGTGATCCTTGTGTTTGGGCAGTCCACCGACTTGTGCTAAACTCTCAGGACCGGAAATCGGACCTCTCGACGCGGAGACATGTGAGCCGCAGGACCTACCTGCTCCGACGAGCGGTAGTCAATGCGGTCAATGCGGTGGCTAGACGACGACAGCGGCGGGGCATCACGACGCCCCGCCCCTTGTGTGAGGTGCGCTCTGCAATTGCAGCGGGGGGATGAATGGATTCATTGATTCTTCGGCTACGTCACGACGCTGGTTCAGCTACTCAGGCCATGCAGAATACGAGTAACGTGGGAAGACTGTGATCGGGGGTGGATAAGGTTTGGACGTGGGCGGTAGTGACGCACTTCGTCTGGAGAGACTGAGGAAGACTGAGTAGCTGCTAGCCATATACTTCCCAGAGAACAATCCGGAGCGTTACTGCTGAGCTAACCTGTTCGGAAACCGGCGAGATTAGTACGGCGCAGGCTTCGGCATTTGGCCAGTGTCACCTGTTGCACCGACTGAGATGTTCATGGTTTTCATCAGTCTCTACAGATGAGTTCTCTGATAACACCTAGAGACAGGTCACGGCTTCTTTCTTCCTACCAATAAAACTTTCCTCCCATTCCAATTGAAATCGTTAAAAAAATAAATCATAGAATCGAGAATGTATCTTACGAAGAAAATTGGTAATTACGTAAACCATCTGTTTTGGTCAGTTAGACCCTTTAAAGTATAACACGAGGGCTGTTCGGAAAGTAGTCTCCGTTAATTTTAGGAAACTAATGTAGGAGTGGGGATTTTTTTTAAAATTCGCTTAGTGGGGGCTGGAGTCCAGCTGGGTCCATTCGGCACGGCGGCCACTGATTGCCCTATTGTACCTGCACCGGGTGATTATGATGATGGAGAATTTGTCGACCATAAATCCCACTTGACCAAACCCGGGATCGAACCGGGGCCGCCGCGGAGGAAAGCCAGCGACTAACCGCTTGAGCTATGGCGCGGCCATTAGGAGCAGAGATAGCTCGCGCATGCGAGGTAGCGTCACATGACTCATTGCCTTGTAAACCATCATATAAGGGGTCACCTAGTGTTTGTTCTTGTCTCTACGGAGTGAGCTATGATGTATCCTGCGATTGATATTCCCGCCAGATGCGAAATTCCCTCTGTTGTCCGCTTTCTTTACAACAAAAGCATGAGTGCTGCGGAAATTCATCTTGAATTATGCGCGATTCGCGAGAAAAATATGATGAGTGAAGGAACTGTAAGACAATGGTTTAGAATGTTCAAAGTTGGGCCCACAGATGTTCACGATGAAGAGCGAAATGGTCGGCCATCTGTAGCGAGTGATGATCTTGTTCAAAGTGTCACCAGAATATTTGTGAAAGACGGCGCTTCACAGTTTCGGACCCTTCATGTGAAATTCCACAAATTTCGCTCAGTGTTCTGTACGAGGTTATCACAGTTAGGCTATCATCACAAGTTTTGCGCAAGCTTGGTTCTGAAAATGCTCTCGGGCGGCCACAGAAAGCAGAGAATGGCGTTGACTTTCTTTAGAACGATACCACAAAGATGGCCACGAATTCTCGAGCACATCGTACGAGTAAGTTAGTTTTGAAGAAAGCAGTCTTCTGGGATTTGGCACCGTGTATATGTGGTGTTAACCGACGTTTCGGAGGAACGTATCGCCTCCATCTTCAGGGTAGAAGAAAAAATATAAGAATTCTGCAAGCGAAGAGACCGTGAGAACCGGTAAAATCTCACGGTCTCTTGGCTTGCAGAATTCTTATATTTTTCTTCTACCCTGAAGATGGAGGCGATACGTTCCTCCGAAACGTCGGTTAACACCACATATACACGGTGCCAAATCCCAGAAGACTGCTTTCTTCATAGTCACCGCCGTGAAAGCCTCAAATCTTACATAAGTTAGTTTTCTTTGAAAGATATTTGTTCTTCCATACCTGATACAATTGTATAAAATCTATATTTGCTTTTTTTATTCTTTGATCTATGTCTTGATCTGTTCCTCCATCTTGAGTTACTTTGCTTCCCAGGGATATAGAACTCTCTACTTATTCAGTTTCTTTATTAGCTGAAGCCACCTGCTCACGCTGGTTCCTCGGTCGCGGATTTTTGTACCCTGAAGATGGAGGCGATACGTTCCTCCGAAACGTCGGTTTACACAATATCTATAGGGCGCCACATCCCAGAAGATGGCATTCTTCAATCAACTACTAACTTTTCCAGCTGAACTCTGTTCTATAAGGTCGGTCAGTTTCTTGATTCGATTAGAACATAGGATTTTGGTGGTTTTATCAGTCCGTCTGTGCTGGGATAGTACTCCGACTGGGTTACTTCTGCTTTGTCCTTTCCATTTCGCCAGCCACCAGTCATCCTGCCATTCAATGCTGCATAGTCCGTAAAAAGCGAGTTAAGTTGTTACTCGGTCAGAGAGGGAGTAACAGGAGGAGGACTCAAATTGCACTGCTCTAATGAGGAGTTTATTCTTAATTTCCGCCCGTTATATACCGTTATTAGGACGGGATTGGCGAGGTTTATAGCCCGCAGGCGGTTGAAAGTGCACAGAAAATGAGAGACCACTTGGAAGTCCTTAGCGTATATTGGAGGAATATATTCCAGAATATAGCCTAGTTAAACAAGGCGTTTTGGAGTGATATGGACTTTCTGTGGGCTGGAGTAGGGCCGAAGGTTTACACTTTGTGCGAACGATGAAGAATGACGCGATACATAAAAGTTGGCCATTCCAGACAACCTGAGTAACTGTCAGCTTGATTCTGTTCTGCTGTTTAGTATGGCAGATCATTGCGGCCTGATGAATCCGAATTTCCGGGTTTCCCAATTCTATTTACATATACATGGGGCCGGACAATCTACCTGTCGCAATGCCTCTACCTACACCGGACAACACATATATTTGCAAAATATTGTGTTTCGATACAAAGTGTCAGGACCTCTGGACCATGAAAAATATACGGATTTGCCTTGTCCTTGAAATTTTACTTACCCCCCCCCCCNGGTCCACTAGTATCACCCGATTTGAATTCATTCTAAATCAATGAGTCGGTATGGCTTCTTAGTTGGGGAGGGGGGGTGAAGTATGTACACTGAAACACACAACTGCAAGAACACACCCATTCATCATGTCTTGAGCAGAATTCAAGTCTGAAATCCCAGTATTCCAGCGATCGAAGACCGCACAGGCAAGAAAAAGTTCCATTTAAGCAGTAATTGCTTGGGAACCGTGGTCTGTCCTCACTAGGCCTGTACTCCATTAATCAGTCCCGAATTAAAGGAAAGCGGCCTTGTTCTGTTTGCGTTTCCTGTCTGCTGTAGACACGGTGTATCAGGAATGCATTTACCGCCCGGCAGGTTCAGAGAAACGTAAATTCCCCCAAACTTTGTTAAAGCCTGTCCCTTACTTAATTCTCTGCTATCGGACTCTTTCGCGTCTGGATATTGCAACGGTGCTATTAAACATCGCAGTCCGCTCTCCTGAGACGAGTTCCCTTTGCGAACTGGAATGGATAAATTCTGTGTCCATTTCTACTAACGCATTCTTTTCGCATTGCATCTGAACTGATATTAACGCGTAGAGAATTCCTTGTCAGCTGTTTGCTCCTACGTGAACCGTATTGTGTTACGCTGGCTTGAATGAAATCAGACCAGATTTAGGACCGTGTCACAGCTTAGGCGCTTAGACGCTGGCTTCTCGCGGCAGGGCTTCCGGTTCGGTCCCACCTGACTTCATACCGAAACAAATGAT